TAAGTGGGAATTTCAACGGTTCTTTACCGGGTTCAGATAAAATGATTGGGTCTCCATCTTCTTTATTTTGCTCCTCCTCCTTTTCGGTAAGTCACGAGTTAATAAATTTGGTTGAGTTGCTGACCTTGTTAATTCGGGCTAACATTAACTTTAACATTTTGAATAATTCGTGATTTATCATCATTTACGTTATAACCAACCGTAATCTCTGCTTTTGCGTTAGTGTTCTTTTGACTTGTGAAACGTCTTCTCATTTATAATTGAATAAAAAAAAGAAAAATATATTTAAAGTTTTATTTAGTTGTTACGGTAATATCCCAAGGTTCATCATTGTTTGCTTATACTTTCTTTGTAACTGCACCAATTATGTTATTGATATTGCTTTGAGTTTCTTCCAGTCTTATTTTATCATTTACAATATCTTTAATCATTTCATTACATGCATTCTTAAAACCATCTGATTTTTCTAATTTACGTCTATCACTTTCTTTAATTAAATCAAAGTTATAACCTTGTTGAGAATAAAGTGGTTTCTTTATCAATTCCTTGAACGCTTCTGAAAGTGAAGATGAAGAAATTCTTGCCACTTGAATTGGTTTAAATTCTGCTTTCATTGCTTCTTTCTGTTCATTGAACACTGGATCGAATAAAGCAACTTTAAAGAATTTCTTAGCTGGAATTTCAGGTCTAATATTTGCATATTGACCATCAAACTGATTAACATATCGTGGTAATCCATCCGGTCCCTCTTCAGCATTTAATTCTTCATTGAAATAAGAATATGGATTATAACGGTATGAATTAATTGGACCATTTTCACCTTCTCCAATGTATTGTTTAACAGCTTTTCCATTTTCATCAAATTGCATAGGATAACGTTCATTATATGCTTTACGTTTAGGATAATCAGTTATAGTTAATTTATAACCATTTATGACTTTAATATTACCTTGACCATCAGTAACGAAAACTTCATTTATACCATCAGGTTTTCCATTTGGACCCGTAATGTCTGCTTCGTGTGCTTCCCAATTTGGACCATGACGTTTGGCATATGCTTGAGCTTCTGGTAATGTTAAAACGTTTCTCATTTGTTTAACATCTTTTGAAGACCAGCAACAATATGAACTAATTCTTTCATTCCATCTGGAACTTTCATAGTTCTATTATATGCACCCTTTTTGTTTGTCCCTTGTTTTAATGGAACCTGTAGAAGATTTGCTATTTCTGTCATGTTTAATTATAAATAAAAAATAAAAATTAATTATAAAAAGTTAATCAAATTTAACACCTTTATTTAAATCAACTATTATTTTTCCATGTTCACCTAATTGCTGATATTGTGTGTAAAGTTCATTAATGCTCATTGGTAAATTCACTTGATAAAGCATAACGTTCAACTGTTGACGACTAAAACCACTGAAAATGAAAAGGGTGACAGGTTTGATTTAATGTTTGTGCTTAATGCTTTGAAGTATTGAACAGCCATGAAGAATGAACACTGAATGTGTCGACATTGAGTTAATAATGATTAAAATATGATTTCTCATTAGTTATTAGTTTTGATTTCACGCATCATCTAGAAAAATTAGTGAATGCAAAAATTCTTATCAAAATTTGAAATAGAAAGTGTTTCAAATAATTCATCCCTTTGTTTATCAATAATTTTATCCTCTAATCCTTGCTTCTTGATTGTATTATATAATTCTTTATACATTAAAAAGTTTTTTAAATAATCTTCTGCTTCTTCTTGTGATAAATAAATAATTGGAATTTTGATTAAATGCTTTAAAGATTCAAATGTATCATCTGAAGGTGAACCTGAACGGTTGATATAAATTAACACATGTGAATGGGGGAAGTGTTAGCAATAATGATAATTTGTTTTAATATCGTTAATGTTTTACCTTTATTTTGTTTACCAATTGCTGCAGTGATTGAATTTAAGTAACATTCAGAATATGGAATTTTCATTAATTTTTCCTTAGATAGAGCATTTCTATTATCACTCAATGCTTCATTAATCATATCATCTACGTATGTATTATATACTCCTGCTAATTCTTCAGAATTGAAATCCATTTAATCAAAAATAAATTTATAATTTTAAACATTTCTATTCATCAATATTTCATCATATGAACTTCTATACTGTGGTGGTGTACCTGTTGGATGATATTTCAAACCTTCATCCGGTGTCCATGTCCAATACGTAGTCCTAGTAAACCAAACCTGAGGAGGATTTGTCACCTTTGAACAGTAAGTGTCATTTTCACCCTGAATGATTGGATAAGCTTTCACTTGTACTGTAACTTGTGAGTTGAAAGTTTCTAATCCATCAAAGAATATACCCGCTCCATCACGTTGAACTGGAATAGTGCATAAGAATGAAGTTTGGTCTTTCCATGTTCTAGCTAATGGTGTGCCATTATCATCATTCAGTGGTCTAGTTAATGAGTCCTCGTATTCTTCTGTGCATTCATTCACTCCATCTAAATCAGAAGCTTGAAGCATACGTGTAAAGAATATGTCACCCACTGTGGTCATCGCTTGATCGGGGAAGTTTCTGGAATCTATAGTGACCTGAAGACCTCGAAGCATTGGATTTTCTAAAACTGTTCTTTGCATTGCATTCTTCGGAAATGTTAACACAACATCTGTAACATTATGAAGAGCGTATGAGAAATCTGAGCTAATACCTTCAGGAGTGATGCAACCTCCATTTAGTGAACGAACGTCAATATGTTGAGCTGGAATCATGAATGGATCTTCCTTACTGAATAAACGTGGTATTGCTTTAACTGATTCTTCAATTAAACCGTATCCTGGTGTAATGCATTTATCCTCTAAAACTTCCATCTTTGTGCATGAAATAATAACGTTATCAACTGTTGCGTCAGCAGATGTAGCGGCTAAGCTTGTAATTAATTTGGCAGGAAGTCCGATTTGTTGGAATTTGCGATCATATTTATAAACATGATTCATAATCTTTTCATAATTTTCATCAGTTATCTTTTCATAAACGTAATTTTGTAAATCAGCAACTCTTAACGGGTCAACCTGACAAAATACTAAAGTATCCCTGAAAACATAATATTTAAGAATGATTTCACCAAATGATTTAGGATAATCATCGAACGCCTGAAATGCTAACAAATCATTTACCGGAATAATCATATCAAAAGTGATATCAACTTCTTCATTTGCTTTTTGAAAACTTCTGAAGGGTCAATATATTTACCACATACTGAGTTATCATATTTTTGAACATTATTATATAACGAATGAACAAACTTTTTAACTTTCCTTTCTGATTTTGGTTTATATGTTGCAAATGCGAAAGATTCACGGGCGCAATCCATCTGAAGATAACCGGCATCACCTCTTTCGGTTTCTACTTCTAATTGTTTAAAGCTTTGATTTGATGATTTGTAACCAACGAATAAACGCATGCATTTAAAAGCGGCATCACATGTGAAAGCTTTATTTGAAACTAGAGTTGCTTTAACTTTGCGTTTAATATATGTGTCACCTAATTGGTTCACATCATGAGCCGGATTTGTAATTCTTAAATGAGTTTGTTTATCATCAAAATATGGAGCATCAGAGTCATAGCATGAACTTTCAAGTTCTCTATAATATCTTCTACCGTCATTCTTTGCGAATATTTCATTTATCTTTTCGAATGAATGAAACACATTTCCATTAATCGGTTTAGTGTTTGGCACCAAATAGTTAGTCGTCATTTATTAATAAATAAAAAATCAAAATTAAAAGATGAAAATGAATTTTTAATTTTAATGAAATAATCAACTATGGCTGCAGGATTTTTAAAAAATGTGGGATAAAGTAAAAAGAGGAGCGCATAAAGTTTGGGAAACAATGAAGAAAGGAGCAAATTGGATATTTAAGAATAAAGAAGCAATTAGTGACGTTGCTGAATCAATAACACCAAAAGCCGCCCCAATAAGAGAAATATTAAATAAAGGAGAAAAAGTTTATCAAAGACTTCAACCGATACTAAGATAAAAATAATATTTATTTATTTTTCCACTATCTACCTCCTATTTTATTAAGTATTCCTTCAGCTATTCCACCAATTGCGTTACCTGCTTGTGCTCCCATTGCCGGATTACCTGCTTTAGTACCTAATACTCCACCTATGATAGTTCCTGCCGTTTTCGCTACTGGTGCCAAAAAGTTTGCAACGGGTTTAATAATCTTTTGATGAACCCAACCCGCAGCTTTCTTAATTCCATCCCATAATTTTTTAAAGAATCCTGCCGCCATTTCTGATTTAATATTAATTAAAAAATATATTTCATCACTTATATTCTAATTTTTATTTAATGATAAATGAAACCGATTTTAAAAATAAATGAAACAGAGGAGGAAGAAATAAATGAAAGTGAAAATGTTCAACAAAAAATAAACGTTGTTAAACCAATTACTGAAATAAAAATTTTTTCATCTGTTGAAGAATTTAATGACTATTATGCTAATAATAAAAATTATTTGAAGAATTGACAACATGTAAATTGAATAAAATGTTTAAAGTTGATGGATTCAAAATTTCAAAAATAAAAGGAGTGGTTAGTTTGAAATCTATTAGTAGTATATGTGGATGGGTTGTGTGACTTTTTTTGTAAACGTAAGAATTCATACGATATTGAACGATTTTGTATCATTTTTTTTGACATATGAAGTAAAAAATGTATGATTCTTACGGTTTTTATTCTTACGTTTTTGAATAAATCAAGATTTAAAAAATTGACTTCTTACGTAAAATTAAAACTAAGTTAAATTTATTTTTTATTTTATAATAAATGAGTATAACAACTAATTCATTGAAATCTTTAAAGTTCACTAATTCAGAATTAGAAAATATTTTAGAAAATTTTGGAGATGGTTCTTATCCAACATATATGCAGAATGTGAAAGAGTTTTCCAGATTGTTGAATGAATTTAAATATAACGGACCAATTACTAAAAAGGCTATAATGAGATATTTATATCCCAAAAAAGTTGAAAAACAGGAGAATATTCCTCTTTATGGTCCAGAGGACCTGGGCTCAGAGAGCCTTGAAACACCTCCTGAATATTTTGAAGAAAAAATTAAACAAGATGAATATTATAACGATGAGATTGAGAAATTGGAACAATTAAGAAATGAAATAGATGAAAGAATTAGTGAATTGAGAAATGCTGAGAATGAAGTAGAGGGTTTAATGAATATCCCAGCTTCAGAATCAGAAGTTCAAAAATCACATGAGGAAAGATATAAAAATTACTTTTTGGAATCTACTAAAAATTTATTAGATGGTGATATTGACGAAACACTTTCAGAAGAAGGCACAAAATTTATTCATAAACATAAGCTTCAGTTTATTGACGATGGAGATTATCCATGTATATTACTTTCACCTCCTCTTGATTCTGAAAAATTCAAAAAAGCACTGAAAAATGTAACATATGCAACAAATACGATTAAGAAAGAAGACCATGATATTTACACAAATTATTATTTAAATAAATGTACAGGTGTTGATAAAGTTTTTGATTTGTTAGATAAAATATCAAAAGAAACAATTGGTACATATAAAATTTTATGCGATTGTGGTTTCATTATTGAAGATACCAATAATGTTTCATATGAAAGAACAGCACCGAAGGAAGACGAAGTTGAAAGGTCTATACCATTCGTTATTAAGAACATAAAAGATATGAAAACTTATAAACATTATATTTATTCATTTATTTCAGAAAAAATGGAAGCAACCCATAAAACATCATCTCATCATTTTATAGCTATTCATACATTCCTTTTCAAAGTTGTGAAATTAAATAAGACAGGAATTAGATTTAATGTATCAGGGTACGCATTCTTGAGTAAATTAAAATGTATTCGTCACGTCGCAGATGATAAAAATTTATGTGTTCTTAATTCATTTTATGGACTTTAGCCCTGGACTCTCTGAGTCTCGGACTTTAAAAAAAATAAACTTTATTTTTATTTATTTTTTAATTTTTATTCTTACATAAATGAACAAAAATGGAACAGCTAAAATGAATGATAATCAAATAAGAGCCGAAGGTAGAAGGTTATTTAAACGCTTCTATAACATTCCTGATGGTGTTAATCCTAAAACTCGTAGAAGTTATTTAAATGAAGCCATAGATGCATATGAAGGATTTGACATTTCATCAGAAAGTGAGAGGTTAGCAAGAATGTTAAACGTTAATATTGATTTTTATTATTGTGACCCTCAACCAGAAGACGTAGACATTAACAAGGTAGACTTTCCATTAGTGGAATCAATAATGATAGATCCAGAATTTGAAACAGTAAATATTTTATTAACACAGAGTCCATGTGGAAAACTTCACGCTGACAGAATAACAGACGTTGAAGCACTCACAGGATATAAAGTTTGCCCCTTTTGCAAAGAAGAAGTATATTCTATCCGTGATGATCCAGAAAGGAAAAACCAAAGAAGATTTTTAAAACATTGTGAGAAATGTAAAGAAAATAATGGAAGATTAATTCAAGACGTTCAATTGCAAAAACACAACAACCATATGCACCACATATCACGAAACAGAAGATATATCAATGGCTATTAGCACATAATTTGCAGGAATATTATAAACCAACAAGATATTATATTACTTTTGACTTCGAAACATTAGAGACTAAAGAAGAACTTCAACTTTCTGAATGTGCAACTTTGAACGCTTACTTAAAACCATTTATGGTATCATCAACGTTAAATTAAACCGATAAAACGTATACGAGGAATTTTTGCTTAACATCAAGTGATTCGTTCATCTCTGATTGGATTGAATTTTTATTTTCAACCTGTTCATTAGTTGCTAAATCAAATATTGAACAATATGAAGAATTAATGAATACATTAAATGAAAACAAAGGAAGCATGAAAGAACTTTTAGATGAAGAATTTAATAAAGTGAATATCATTGGTTTTAATTCGGGAAAGTTTGATTTAAATTTAATTCTTCGTGATTTAAATACTGCAAAATGGAAGATAAAATCAATGCTGGGTTCTTCTTCTCAATTTAAGCAAGTCATTGTAAAGAAAACAAACTGTCCATATGAATTAAGATTTATTGACATCAGAAATTATATAGCGGGTGGAACATTAGACCAATTCACTCAAGATTTCGGAAACAATAAATCACGTGTTAAATCCTTTTTCCCTTATCAATTCATCACATGGGAGAATTACGAAGATGAATTATATAAAAAGGAACCATTCACTCAAGATTCATTTTATTCAGCATTAACACAAGAAACAATATCCGATTCAGATTATCAAATATATCTCAATGATGCTAAAAATTTTGAAGAATAGATTAGAATATTTTATTCATTATTGCAATAAAGACGTTGAAATTATGATTGACCCAATTGATAAAATTATCGAAGAAACATTTGTTTATAAAATTGACATGCTTCATAATCTTTCTTTATCATCGAATGCATCAATGATTCGTTACGCGTTAGCATATAAGAACTTCAATCCTAACGAAACATATCCAGAAGAAGAAAATGTGGAATCAAGTTTTGAATTAACAAAAAGTATTGGAAATATAAAATTGAATCATATAAGAAACAAGATGAAAAGGCGAAAAGAGATACTAAAAACAATGTTTCAATGGATGACTATCAATACTATCACGATTTAATCCTTTCATCTAAATGCAAAATGTGTGGTAAAGCGTTTACATATGCAAATAAACCAACATTGGATAGAATCGATAATGAAAAACCACATACCAAAGAAAATTGTCAGTTAATGTGTTGTTATTGCAATGTCGTAAAATCAAATAAAGATGAAGATGTTCAACGTTTAAGAATCAATTTAAGAAATTATGCATTAAAAAATAATTTACCAATGACTTTAGATTCAGTTGAAGCTTATCACATTCTCCGTAATGGAATTACTGGTGGTCTATCAAATGTTCAACATCGTGTTAATCTTAAAGGAATCACGCACATTAATAAACTTTCATATAATCCAGAAACTAAAACTGTATCAAATGAGGACACCACCAACATTATGACTCATTTCGTTGGAGTTGACTTTAATTCATTATATCCTTCATCATTTTCATCTAATCCTCATGATTTCATTCAATATACTGACCATAAAATGTATATGCCGGGAAGATTGAATGGTGTTATCATTTGTGATACAGCAACAAAGAAAGCAAAAGCACTGGGAATAATTAAGAAGAAAAATACTTTATTCGTGGCTGAAGTAAAGGGTCACATTGATGAAAAATACATTAATGATTACATAAACTTTTTACCGATAATAAGAAACTTAGATATTATCACAGATGAAAAAACAATTGGCAGTTTTATGTATAATTACATGAAATCAAACAATCTACCAGTTGACCAGAAACAGAGAAAATTAACTCAGTTAGCATCAACACACAACCAATATCAACCATTTTCTTCTTATTATCTTTGGTATCTAATAGACAGATTTCATTTTATCATTGATGACATTCAATCAATTTTAACATTTACGAAAAACACTTGTTTTAATGAATTTGCGAACAAATTTATGAACGAAAGACAAAAGGCTGAATTAGAAGGAAATAAAGGAAAAAGTTTATTTTGCAAGATTTCACTTAATGGATCATATGGTTACGATGCAATGAATACACAAAATTACGCAAAGACTAAAATAATGAATGCACAGAAGGCACGCGTTGCATGTATGTCAAATAAGTTTAAAAACATAAGAGAAATAGGTGAAGATACATATCAAGTGATGCTTAAAGATAGATTTTATAGATGTGATACATGTTTACAAGAGGCATTCTTCACTTTAGATAATGCTAAATACTGGTATTTGGTTTTCATTTATGATTTTATGTATAAATGCATGAATGTTAATCGTTTTCATTTCATTGAAGGTGATACTGATTCATCTTATTGGGCAATCGCTGGCGACCCAAATCTTCCTAACACTCAAGCATTTCAAGCAATTGTTACCGATAAACAATTTTATGATAAAAACATTTTCAAATTCGCACCATTTGATTTCTTCTGTTTTGATGAGAAATTTAAACCTAAATTAAAGAATAAAGCTGAAGAAAAAGCACATGAGAAGAAGTTATTGGGTTTAGCAATTGAGAAACAAGGTGATAACATGGTTGCTTTATGTCCTAAGTGTTATACATCATTCAACGGTTCAATTGATGGAAGTGATTTTAAAAAGATTGCACAAAAAATGAAAGGTGTTAGTTTACGACAAAATAAACAATTAACACCTAAAAATTATTTGGATATAATAAATGATAAATGATATTTGATGGTCAGAATATTAATTTACAACTTAAAAACGGGTCAATGACTCGCTTAACAATTGGTAAGACTGCATTAACAGGAGCACACACTAAGGCTGTATGTTGTGAAAATGGATGTTGTATGCCATTTATTTAATAAAATACCACAGAAGAGACAAAAGGAACCGTTAATGATGGTTTTGATACTATGATTCAAAGAGGTGGGCACCCTTAAAACATTGATTTTATTTTTATATAAATGAATAACACAGATTTAAAAATTTTAATTGATGATTTAGTACTTAATCAAAATTTTCTTATTATTATGATTAAAATCATATCTCCAAAAATAATAAAATATAACGGGTGATGATATGGAATATTATTATCCATATTATAAAAATGAAATTTTGAAATATCATATAAAATAATTTCTGAAATTAAAGACAAAATTAAAAATAATGAATATTCAAAGGGAAAAACTAAATCACAGCTTAAACAGTTGAAAGATTTCAAAAATAAAGTATTAACAGAAGAAGATATTGATGAATTATATAAATTATATAATCCTGAGCCGCAAAAACCAAAGGAACAAAACAAAGGAACAAAACACCCAGGTCCTTCAGACCATAAATGATGCACAAGCTTTAATTTATGATTCATTAGTTAAACCATATTCAGCCCGACTTTTAAATGAAGATCAACTTTTGGAATTCATCCTTCAACATAAACTCGAAGCGGGAAAGTATATCAAACCTTTATATACAGCATATTTAAAACAAATGAATAGAATACATCCAGAATTAATGAAGGAAGGAATGAAATCCAAAATCAAAGCAGATAAAATTAAACCACTTGCAACACCAAAACCTCCAACGACAGTACCCTCCTCCTTCAGTTAATCCTTCATCATTCACTTTATTATATCCATTTCAAACATTAAGAAGCAAAAAGATTTTAAAAAGGATTTCAAGATATTAAATAAACCAATTGACCCGAAAAATTCAACCGTTAAAGGAAAAATTTAGTCGCCCTTCATTTGCTCCATATCCATATTCATACGAAATCGATCATCTGGAATATTCAAAAGGAAACGTTACTTATTTATTTGCCATTAACATTAACACTAGATATTTATATTGCATTCCGGTGAAAGGGAAAACAGAACAGGAAACAAGAAGAGCTATTCAATACTTACTAGATCATGAAAGAGTAGATAATATCAGGGGTGATGGTGATAAAGGATTTCAGGCAGCTATGACTCATTATTTCCCACAAATTAATTTTTTCTTTCATCCTCTCCATATACGTTTCATAATAAAATAGTTGATGCGGTAATGAGAACTCTTAGAGATGCGTTAGGGTTAACGGTCAGATATACTGGGATGGAAATCATGACTCCATCATACAGCAGTTAGTATATTATTACAATAATACATGGCATAGAACTATAAACATGAAACCAGTGGAAATGAAAAATGATATTTCAAAAGAATGGGAATATATTAGAAAGCAAATGGAAAGGTTAAATGATGTTTAAACATGAACAAATTAATTCGGGCTCATGAATTTTAAACAAGGGATAAAGTTTTAATTCATCTCGATTATGGAAAAACTGATAAATCAATGACAAAAAGAAGACGAAGATTTGACACAATAGCTGAATTTGTTTAGATATATTAACGGCAATGCATTAGTTGAAGTTGACAATAAATTAATAGAAATTCCGATTTATTTTATTACTCCATTATATTTAAATAACATTTAATTTTTTTTTATTTCGTAAGAAATGAGTGACAACGAAGCAGTCAAGAGTCCGGACAATGAATATAAAAAGAAACTAAACAAAATTAAATCAAAAATATGCTATTACAAAAAGAAGCCGCAATGTGGTGGGGTTGAAAACGATAAAGAAATAATCGAAAAATTAGAAACTTACCGTTCAATCCTTAAACTGAGTGAAGCAAAAATAAAAGAATTTAATAGAATAAATCAATTGATTGGAAGAGATGAATTTAATAAAGATGAATTTTTAAACTCAATCCAAATTTAATTTTTATTCCTCTTTGACAACATCTCTCTTTCCATCATTACTGCATAACCACATTTTCTCAATTTTAGTGGTTTGTTATTTTTAACATGTTCTTGCATCATTTTTATCATTTCCTCCCTTGTTATGATTCGTGGTAAATTTTGAGCTTGTGGGGTATCCATTTATGATAAAAATAAAAATTTAAATTATGCCGTTCTAAAGTTTGTGACAACATGACATTTTGACAACAACATAGGAGGAAGGCAGTTATGACTTATTTTTGAAGAACTGAAGGTGCTACCATGTTACCATGTGCTACCAGGTCATTTAACTTCTCTGAAAAAGTGTGACAACATGACATTTTGACAACAACATAGGAGGAAGGCAGTTATGACTTATTTTGAAGAACTGAAGGTGCTACCATGTTACCATGTGCTACCAGGTCATTTAACTTCTCTGAAAAAGTGTGACAACATGACATTTTGACAACAACATAGGAGGAAGGCAGTTATGACTTATTTTTGAAGAACTGAAGGTGCTACCATGTTACCATGTGCTACCAGGTCATTTAACTTCTCTGAAAAAGTGTGACAACATGACATTTTGACAACAACATAGGAGGAAGGCAGTTATGACTTATTTTGAAGAACTGAAGGTGCTACCATGTTACCATGTGCTACCAGGTCATTTAACTTCTCTGAAAAAGTGTGACAACATGACATTTTGACAACATTTACGAAAATTTGATGCAGCCCAAAAATAAAGTTAGTTTTAAAATTATTTTTATTTTTTTATTCCTATATAAATGACAGCAACAAACAACAACAGCAACTATATCGTTTCTGATGAAAAGTTATTGATTCATTAGTTGAGGAATTAGTTGTGGCAGAAACTAAAACCCTCAACGAAAGAATTGGTGAAAACATGATTGATTTACATAACTACCTCAAACATGATGGAGGAAGAGGAAGGAAAACTGGTACAGCTTTATTAGTAAATAAAATTTCAAATTTAACGATTATAGATGTTGATATCAATAAATCGTACAATGATGAACTTAAAGAAACAGTTAGAAAAGACATTTTATCAAAACTTTCGGATAAAGATGTTATCGTTAAAACCGCATCAGGAGGTCTTCACATTTATTGCAACACTAATTTCTTCTATGCAGTTTCGAACAGAATGATTAAATGTTATTCCTGCAATGATTATGATATTGATATAATGACTTCTATGGATGATTCAAAACGTTCATTAGTAGTTATGGCTGATTCAAGAGTTCGAAAGAATGCATCAGAACCAATCAATACATACTCATTCATTCGTGGAAGTTATGACTCAACATTAACCAGAACAGTGAATGATATATTAAATGATTTGAATATTAAGGTAAGAGTTGAACAGAAGAATGAAGAAATAAAGACTATCATGAATGAAAACAAAGATGTAAACATTGACGATAAACTAGCTCAAAGCATAGTTGATGGCATCTGTGATTTTGAAGTACATAATGATGGTGGAAACATGAATTTAGAAAAAGAAGTTACATTATTCACACTGTTTCAAGCAATTAATTCGTTACCTAATCATTTAATTAATGAAGCATACGATAACGTTTATAACTTCTGCAGTTTAACTGAAAATGCAAAAAGTAATTTTGAAAAAGCACGTAGTAGATATGCACATTTAATGACTTCTCCATTTGTTTTAGTGAAGATTCTAAAACTTTATCAAAAGGAATATTATGATGAATATGTTTTACCTTTATTACGTAAGCCAAAAATAACATTTGATATCAAACTTGATGACTCGTTTTTGATAACAGATATTAGACGCAAGGCTGAAAATCATCAGTATAAAAACAGTTCTGAAGTAATTGAGGATTTATCACGTGTAATCCGTTTTGTAGATTGTGGAAATAAATATTTCATTCAAAAGGACTATAATATCCACGACAAAATGAATCAAATATCATTCGTTCTTCAATCAAACATGAAAGAGTCACTTAAAATGATTAAATTATATAAAGAAGAAGGTAAAACCATAACAGCATGGGATGTACTACTAAATCAATTGTCTTCATTAACCGTTAAGGGTGTTTGCTTTAAATCTGATTCCCCAGATGTTTTCTCAACGTTTCAAGGTTATAAATATAACGTTCTCGAAAAAGTAGATTACTCAAAAATTGAGATGTTTATGAATTTCATTAAAGAAGCCATATGCGATAATAACGATGAAGTGTATAAATACCTTCTCGGCTGGATTGCATCAATGATTCAACATCCTGGAATCAAGAATGAAACAGCAATTATTTTGAAAGGACTTCAGGGAACAGGTAAAAACAGATTCACAGACATTATTTCTGAACTTCTCGCTGGTTATTCATGTAAAAACATTACTGAAATAAGTGAGCTAACGGGTAATTTCAACTCAGTAGTTGAGAATAAAATGTTTCTTGTACTTAATGAACTCAAGAATGTTGGTGAAGATAGACTCGCAAACTTCAACGCTTTGAAATCAATTATTACGGATAATCAAATTAGAATTAATGAAAAGAATCAACCCAGAAGAACAGCACAGAACGTTGCAAACTTCATTTTCGTAACTAACAACGTCTACCCTGTCAAAATTGAAGTTGGAGACAGAAGATACGTAGTTTTAAGGGTTAATGGTAAATTCAAGGGTCAATTTGATTACTTCAAGAATTTAATGGATTCATGCACTAAGGAATTTTATGATAACCTTTTAACATATTTTATGCAATATGACCTTTCATCATTTAATGTACGAATCATACCGATGACTGAAGCCAAACAAGATTTAATTGAATTATCAACAAATCCTTTAGATGTATGGATAAATACACATTATGATGAATTGTGTGCAGGTATGACGTGTGAAAATGCTCTATTCTGCAAACCATCAGACATGAAAGACAAAAACTTTCAAATGAGTATTAAGGATAAATGTGATAGGAAACATAGAAGAATAGACGGTAAACAAACATGGTGTTATGTTTTGAAAGAAGAAATGAAAGGATTATATAAACAGGTTGAACCAAACGATAATGAGGATTCATTTACTGACGATGAAATACCTGTAAATGATGCTTTATAAAGTATGATTGGAATTTATTTTTGCATTAATCCTCCTGTGTTGTTGTCAAAATGTCATGAGTTAAATGACCTGGTAACATGGTAGCACCTTCAGTTCTTCAAAAATAAGTCATAACTGCCTTCCTCCTATGTTGTTGTCAAAATGTCATGTTGTCACACTTTTTCAGAGAAGTTAAATGACCTGGTAGCACATGGTAACATGGTAGCACCTTCAGTTCTTCAAAAATAAGTCATTATTGAATAACCTATGTTGTTGTCAAAATGTCATGAGTTAAATGACCTGGTAACATGGTAGCACCTTCAGTTCTTCAAAAATAAGTCATAACTGCCTTCCTCCTATGTTGTTGTCAAAATGTCATGTTGTCACACTTTTTCAGAGAAGTTAAATGACCTGGTAGCACATGGTAACATGGTAGCACCTTCAGTTCTTCAAAAATAAGTCATTATTGAATAACCCGTAAACATTAACGTAAACATTTATTTCTGCAGTTCATTCATTACTTCATTACCTAATTAATTACAAACATAAAATATATTTAGTTCATTCAATGAACGCGGTAAGCCTGCAAAGTAGGCTCAAGCACATTCAATAAATGCGGTACCATGCGAATACAGTCATAAATGGTGGCATATAATCTTCACCCGAGCCTGTTGGATTTGTTGTAAATGTATGTGTATGATTTCCTCCTGTTTCAGTTGGTCGAAAAGTCTTTTTTGCTGAATGGTTATAATCTGGAGATAAAACATCATTGCCAGCTTTATAGTCTGAGTTGTATAATGGATGGTCTCTTAATGAGTGACTATGGTCACCAGAAAAGTTTGTCGTTCCTGTATGAGTGTGCGGTGGAAGGTTTGCTTCAGTAATTTTCTTCGAACCTCCTGTTTCCTTTGAAGAGTTTGCACAATACAAAAACCTGTCAACTATTTGTTCCCATGCACCAACACCAAACATTACTTGAGGACCTCTTGCATCCATAGATGTATAAATAGAACCCACTGGGTTCATTAAATCAAACATATGAGACATTATAGGATTGTCTCTTTTGAACTTAAAATATAGTGCAACTATTTCAGGTTTCTTCTGGTTTGTGTCAGAATATTTTTTATAATATAATCTTATGTTTTCAGGGTAGGTAAAATCTTGACTATAATATTTATTTCTGTCATCTATATAATAATATACTATTCTCGTTTTTTCTATTGCATTATATCTTTTATATCTATAATAATCTAAATATAATGTTTGCTTTTGTTCATCTGCATGTAGTGTTCCTTCGTCATCTACATAGTCATAATAATATGGTGCTGGAGCTGGGTCAGGCAATGTCATATCTGCCATTTCATAAACTCTTAAATATTTCTTTTGTTCGTCTCCATATAAGTTTAAGTAACAGTTGTTGTCTAATGGAACTTTAACTTGTGTGTCATCATTCTTTTTATAACTTACATACATTCCATTGTTATTTTTCGGAATGAGTTTCCACCGTATACCATTTTTTAAGGAGTGTACAAACTGCCATCTAAAATATTTATTTTCTTCATTGACAGAAAAGTCACCAACAATAGTTTCAATATTTTTTGTTCCTATCAAACTTTGGTATATTTCGTTAACATATTCCTTATCTGCCTTCTTCTCTAACTCATCGTTAACATATTCCTTATCCGCTTTAAGGTCTAAACATCCTGAAACCCATCCTGTATCGGCTTTAGTTTTTAAAATCTTTGATGTCCATTCATGATACCATTCAACCCTTTCTTTAATTTCATTATCTTTTTCATCAACATAAACCAAATTTGCCTTCTTCATTATGTCGTTTAGGAAACCTTCTATGAATTCCTCATTTAAATTAAATCTTCCAATCTTCAAAACTTTAGGAAATGCATTTAATGCGTAATGTCTCTGTTCTTCTGGTGAAATTGATGTTATATCATCCGTTATACCTTTAATTTTAGAATTCATAAATAAAATTTCTTTTATATTTGATATCACTGCACCACCCTTGCAAACGAATTCGAAATGGTCATTTTTCAATACTATCTCCAAATCTCCATATTTCAACCTTTGCGTTTGTTCTGCCGTCTTTGAATTATATGCATATGTGGCGTATGTAATGGTCTGTGCCTTAAGTTGTTGTGGTTGCTGTTGTTTAATCATTTATTATGATTTAAAAATAAATATTTAATCCGTTATCTCATCAGCTATTTTTTCTATTTGAAATTGCCATAATATTTCATTCATGAATTCTAAATCACAATCAAATAGGTCAGTTATTCTAAATTTAATATTTGATAAATCTTTTGAATGAAGAATAAATGAATTCCCAGATAATTGAAACGGATATGATAAAGAAAATGTGTTTAAGTTGATGGATAAAATGTTTTGTATTGATGGGTAAGAGTTAGGGTCTAATGTTTTGATGTGAAAATCTCATTGGGGTATTAACTTTATCACATTTGATTAAAATGAAATTGGAACCAGTGTCAGAATACAAAACATCCCCAACATCTTTTTCAAAATTTAATATCCCCAACAATGAACGAAGATGAGGAGTACAAAATTTAATTTTCAGCGGAAATTTAATAAGGTTATTTATTTCATCAAGTTCAAAAAGTTTATCGGGTTTTGATTTAAAATTTTTTTCATACCATACGATAAATGATTCATTTAAATAACTTAAAATCGTGTTAATATCCATTTCGTTATCACATTATTTATATACATATCATACGTTTTTTCAAGGTCATCTTTAATAAATGATATATAATCTGAAGGGTCTAAAAGAATGGATTAAATTTACCACTCACAGAAACGAGAGTAACATTATAAATTCCGCTAACTGTTAAATTTAATTCACAGTTATTATTCGAAATAATATTGATAATTGACATTTTTATTACGATTAAAAAATATGGTAAAGCGTTATTTCCAGTGATAAATAAAACTAGAATAAGATTACCTCAAGAATTCATAAAATTCAACGAATAAGAAATTCATTCATGTTATAAATTTTAGTGTTTTCAGAAAATATGAGTCAATGTCATATTCATCATCGGGTTATATTTCACTTCATTCAAATTTAGTTCAATCAAACCCATATAATGACCATTTCATAAGATTTTCAGATGGTATTAAAAATGTAATTGATAGATTAAAATATGAACAGATTGACAATATCGAATTTTTGGAATTTTGGTTTAAATATCCCGATGGAAAAAAGATTGAAGTTAAAGATAAAGCTGATACTATAACAAAAACAATTACAATGACCGATCCAGATAGTGGGAAACAAAAAGAAATAAAACAAACGATAGAAACTGGTGAAAGGTCAATTATTATTGATTATGATTCAAAAGGATTATTATTCGATAATGTTAATGCTTGAATATTAAATAGCCTTAACAAAGAATTTTTCAAGTGATATTTTATATTCATCAACTATTTTATTATAAATATCATTAATAATGTTAAATGAAGTTCAGTTGTTGTTTCCGTTCTTTGATATCTTAATTGTGCTAATATCCTTTATAGGATTTATTTTTGCAACTGTTCCGCAGCATGAAACCTCATCAATCTATGAAAAAATTGAATCTTAACGTCTGAATCTTGAACATCACAAAGAATGGCGATAATTGTGAATTAATGATTCATAAGGTAAAAATAATAACCGGATTGGTCAATTAAATTTATTATTGAATCATAATTATTAGTTATTATATCACGGTAAATTTCATTAATTCAGAATTAATGTCTACTTTATATGGCGCATTGCGACTGGAATCGTAGATTCCTGGGTTCTCGATGTTTGATGAAAGGGTGGGGGTATGTTGGATAAGTGGGAATTTCAACGGGTTCTTTACCGGGTTTAGATAAAATGATTGGGTCTCCATCTTCTTTATTTTGCTCCTCCTCCTTTTCGGTAAGTCACGAGTTAATAAATTTGGTTGAGTTGCTGACCTTGTTAATTCGGGGCTAACATTAACTTTAACATTTTGAATAATTCGTGATTTATCATCATTTACGTTATAACCAACCGTAATCTCTGCTTTTGCGTTAGTGTTCTTTTGACTAGTGAAACGTCTTCTCATTTATAATTGAATAAAAAAAAGAAAAATATATTTAAAGTTTTATTTAGTTGTTATGGTAATATCCCAAGGTTCATCATTGTTTGCTTATACTTTCTTTGTAACTGCACCAATTATGTTATTGATATTGCTTTGAGTTTCTTCCAGTCTTATTTTATCATTTACAATATCTTTAATCATTTCATTACATGCATTCTTTAAAACCATCTGATTTTTCTAATTTACGTCTATCACTTTCTTTAATTAAATCAAAGTTATAACCTTGTTGAGAATAAAGTGGTTTCTTTATCAATTCCTTGAACGCTTCTGAAAGTGAAGATGAAGAAATTCTTGCCACTTGAATTGGTTTAAATTCTGCTTTCATTGCTTCTTTCTGTTCATTGAACACTGGATCGAATAAAGCAACTTTAAAGAATTTCTTAGCTGGAATTTCAGGTCTAATATTTGCATATTGACCATCAAACTGGTTAGAATATCGTGGTAATCCATCCGGTCCCTCTTCAACAGCATTTAATTCTTCATTGAAATAAGAATATGGATTATAACGGTATGAATTAATTGGACCATTTTCACCTTCTCCAATGTATTGTTTAACAGCTTTTCCATTTTCATCAAATTTCATAGGATAACGTTCATTATATGCTTTACGTTTAGGATAATCAGTTATAGTTAATTATACCCATTTATGACTTTAATATTACCTTGACCATCAGTAACAAAGACTTCATTTATTCCATCAGGCTTTCCATTTGGTCCTGTAATGTCTGCTTCATGTGCTTTCCCAATTTGGTCCATGACGTTTGGCATATTCTTGAGCTTCTGTAATGTTAAAACGTTTCTCATTTGTTTAACATCTTTTGAAGACCGGCAACAATGTGGACTAATTCTTTCATTCCATCTGGACTTTTCATAGTTCTATTATATGGACCCTTTTTGTTTGTCCCTTGTTTTAATGGAACCTGTAGAAGATTTGCTATTTTCTGTCATGTTTAATTATAAATAAAAAATAAAAATTAATTATAAAAAGTTAATCAAATTTAACACCTCCTTTATTTAAATCAACTATTATTTTCCATGTTCACCTAATTGTTGATATTGTGTGTAAAGTTCATTAATGCTCATTGGTAAATTCACTTGATAAAGCATAACGTTCAACTGTTGACGACTAAACCCACTGAAAATGAAAAGTGTTGATAGATTTGATTTAATGTTTGTGCTTAATGCTTTGAAGTATTGAACAGCCATAAAGAATGAACACTGAATGTGTCGACATTGAGTTAATAACTGATTAAAATATGATTTCTCATTTGTTATTAGTTTTGATTTCACGGCATCATCTAGAAAAATTAGTGAATGCAAAAATTCTTTATCAAAATTTGAAATAGAAAGTGTTTCAAATAATTCATCCCGTTGTTTATCAATAATTTTATCCTCTAATCCTTGCTTCTTGATTGTATTATATAATTCTTTATACATTAAAAAGTTTTTTAAATAATCTTCTGCTTCTTCTTGTGATAAATAAATAATTGGAATTTTGATTAAATGCTTTAAAGATTCAAATGTATCATCTGAAGGTGAACCTGAACGGTTGATATAAATTAACACATGTGAATGGGGGAAGTGTTAGCAATAATGATAATTTGTTTTAATATCGTTAATGTTTTACCTTTATTTTGTTTACCAATTGCTGCAGTGATTGAATTTAAGTAACATTCAGAATATGGAATTTTCATTAATTTTTCCTTAGATAGAGCATTTCTATTATCACTCAATGCTTCATTAATCATATCATCTACGTATGTATTATATACTCCTGCTAATTCTTCATAAGGGGTGGATGAATTTAAATCCATTTAATCAAAAATAAATTTATAATTTTAAACATTTCTATTCATCAATATTTCATCATATGAACTTCTATACTGTGGTGGTGTACCTGTTGGATGATATTTCAAACCTTCGTCCGGTGTCCATGTCCAATACGTAGTCCTAGTAAACCAAACCTGAGGAGGATTTGTCACCTTTGAACAGTAAGTGTCATTTTCACACCTGAATGATTGGATAAGCTTTCACTTGTACTGTAACTTGTGAGTTGAAAGTTTCTAATCCATCAAAGAATATACCCGCTCCATCACGTTGAACTGGAATAGTGCATAAGAATGAAGTTTGGTCTTTCCATGTTCTAGCTAATGGCGTGCCATTATCATCATTCAGTGGTCTAGTTAATGAGTCCTCGTATTCTTCTGTGCATTCATTCACTCCATCTAAATCAGAAGCTTGAAGCATACGTGTAAAGAATATGTCGCCCACTGTGGTCATCGCTTGATCGGGGAAGTTTCTGGAATCTATAGTGACCTGAAGACCTCGAAGCATTGGATTTTCTAAAACCGTTCTTTGCATTGCATTCTTCGGAAATGTTAACACAACATCTGTAACATTATGAAGAGCGTATGAGAAATCTGAGCTAATACCTTCAGGAGTGATGCAACCTCCATTTAGTGAACGAACGTCAATATGTTGAGCTGGAATCATGAATGGATCTTCCTTACTGAATAAACGTGGTATTGCTTTAACTGATTCTTCAATTAAACCGTATCCTGGTGTAATGCATTTATCCTCTAAAACTTCCATCTTTGTGCATGAAATAATAACGTCATCAACTGTTGCGTCAGCAGATGTAGCGGCTAAGCTTGTAATTAATTTGGTAGGAAGTCCGATTTGTTGGAATTTGCGATCATATTTATAAACATGATTCATAATCTTTTCATAATTTTCATCAGTTATCTTTTCATAAACGTAATTTTGTAAATCAGCAACTCTTAACGGGTCAACCTGACAAAATACTAAAGTATCCCTGAAAACATAATATTTAAGAATGATTTCACCAAATGATTTAGGATAATCATCGAACGCCTGAAATGCTAACAAATCATTTACCGGAATAATCATATCAAAAGTGATATCAACTTCTTCATTTGCTTTCTTGAAAACTTCTGAAGGGTCAATATATTTACCACATACTGAGTTATCATATTTTTGAACATTATTATATAACGAATGAACAAACTTTTT